TGTACATATTAAAATAAAATAAAAAGTGCAGTGATTGACCTCAATCCCCTCCTATCTTCCATACCTGATGAAACATAAATCCTGATTGCATAAGGCCCCTGTTGATCAACGCAATTGGTGTGGGCCTTGTACTCCGAGTTCCGGGTATAGTCCACGCTAGCTCCACGCTAGCTGCTATAGGTTTTGCATTGAAGGTGGATATTGAGGCTTGAATGTGCTGCGGTTAGCTGGCAGAAGTCCAAATGGGCCAGATCTTTTGAGCTCGCTGAGGGGCCCTTGGAGTTTGGTGGAAGCCTGTTGTGACACAGCGTGGAGTGCATGACATGCTGGGTAGACTCATTGTAGTTTACCCAAGCCAGCTTCCGGACCAATCTCCCAAACTAAACGGCCTCTTTGAAGAAATTCAGTCCCGGCGTTTCCTTTCCGCCCACAGCACTGAACAGCTCCCTGTCCAGGTGTCCAAAGAACCTGCTGATGGCGGCTGACACTGGTTCCCCATCTCTCCTCACCCTACTGGATCTTGACGTGCAGCATTCGACCCTGTCGACCAATGGACATCTCCTTCGCACCCTCAAACACACCATCAGACTCTCTGCTCGCCTGAGCTGGCTCCAAGGTCTACCTGGTCTGGAAAACAGAGTAGTTCCTTGGAGTTGCGAGTTACAGACACACCACCCTTCCACCCCGTGGTGTCCCTCAAGGTAGGATCCTCGGGCCCCACTCTGTTTCCACCCTGTAACACATCTGCCCCTTGGGGCCGTGTCATCAGCCAACATGGAATACTCCATTTTGGGGGCCTAACGCTGGATGACACGCAGCTATATATAAAACACGACCCTATCCACATGCATCCCCGACTGGGTCACCATCATCATCACGTTCCCATAAACATCCTTTAAACCCTGCCTGAGAGATAAAGCTTGGATGCAGTAAAACTTCCTGCGCTAATATGCTCCAACAGGAAACTACTTTAGTTGGCAACACCAACAAGGTCCAGTCATCCCCATAACCCAGCATCACCCCCTTATCTGGGCCACAAACATACCCCTCCTCCACAGCCAAGTTACCGACGGTGTAAGATTTGACCGACATCGACCTTTGACCCCCATTCAAACACCTGTGCAAATCTCCTACTCCACCTCAGGACATGCAAACTCCGTCAGCAATGCTGACAAGCACTGGCCATGGCTTCGTTTCCTCAAGCTTGACTATGTTGGACGGCTCTCTCATCGGCTCTAGCGTGAGCCTTCCAGAAGCTCCAATAATGTACAGACACAGTGCCGCATAGGATCCTGACGAGGGTGAGAAAGTACAACCACATCACAACCGTCCTTCATTCCTCCTGGCTTCCCGTCCTCATTCAGGATTAAATACAAATCTCACTGCTCGCCTCAGTGCATCCACAGGATGCTCTTCATACCTAAAATAACCTACTCCACATCACAACCTCCACTACGCAACATCCGCTCCACACAACATAAATGCTTCGCACCACGCACCAGGAACAAACTCCGCGCATGGGGGAATCGGGCTTTCTGTGCAGCTGCTCCTCACCTGTGGAATTCCCTCCCAGACCCGACCTGAGGACTCCACAGACCACTGAAGCCTTTAAAGCAAGGCCTAAAATCAAATGTTTAGGCAAAAGTGCAGATCTGTAATGAGGACCATCCTGAAGAATAACACAAGTGTTATAACCTAAAAGCAAAAGCAATGTCCGCAAACTACAGGAAGTACTTGAGAGTAGTGGAAACAAGACTGCAGCTCTGATTCGTTGTGAGCAACTACATTGTCAATCGCTGCCCCACAAGAAGACCAACACTCGGATTTGACGAAGGGGAGGAGGTGAAGAGCATCTGGGCAA